AATCTGTTCTCTGCATCTATGTCTCTGTTTCTATTTTGTTTGTTAGTTTATTTGTTCATTAGGGGCTACATGTAGGTGAAATCATATGGTACTTGTCTTTCTCTGACTGGCTTATTCCACTTAGTATAATGCTCTTCAGGTACATCCATACTGTCACAAAAAGTAAGATTTCCTTTTTAACAGCTGCATGGTATTCCATTGTGTAAATGTACCGTAGCTTTTTTATCTGCTCATCTACTGATGGACACTAAGGCTCTTGACTATTGCACATAATGCTGCAATGAACGTAGGGGTACATATAATCTTTTAATTAGTGTTAGGGGTTTCTTTGGATAAATTCCCAGAAGTGGGATGGCTGGTTCATAAGGCAGTTCCTTTTTTACTTTTTGAGGTAACTCCATACTGCTTTCAATAGTAGCTGTACCAATCTGCATTCCAACCAACAATGCACGACGGTTCCCTGTTCTCTGCATCCTCACCAACACTTGTTGTTTGTTGATTTGTTTATACAGCCATTCTGAGGTGTGAGGAGATGTCTCATTGTGGTTTTAATTTACATTTCTCTGATGATTAGTGACATTGAGCATCATTTTTATGTTTATTTGCTATCTGTATGTTCTTTTTGTAGAAGTGTCTATTCAGGTTCCTTTTCTGTCCTTTTTTCCTATTTGCTCAGATGTCTTCGTGCCTCAGAAATCACACTCTCCTTGGTTTTTCCTCTTCGCTCTACCAAAATCCAACCAACCCTTCAAAACCCAATTTAAGTCATTACATCTTACATGAAGACATACTTCCCTCAGGTCCCCAGTCCACTATGATCTTTCTACCTCTAAATTCCTGCAGCACTTATTAGCTTTTCTGCTTACTTTTAAGTGTTCAACAAAATATTTTGAATGTTTATTATGTGCAAGGCAATGTTCCAGGGAGCTATCAGTGAACAAAACAGACAGAAATATTAGCCCTAGTGAGCTTAAATCCTTGTAGCTGCAGAACACTTTATGAAATAAACACAACAAAGTAATTATACAGTATGTTGGAATATGGTAAGTGCTATGGAAAAAATGAAGTCAGATAAGGGAGAATGAAAGTGAAGGGCAGAGGTGGTGCTTTATTAGGGTGGTCAGACGGGCCTCATTGAGAAAGTTACCTGATTGAAGACTTAAAGGAAGCAAGTCATTTAATGGGGACTGGGTATGGGAGGTGTGAACAGAAGAGCAGCCTGAGCCAGCCTATTGTCTCATATTTCTTCCCTGCTTGCATGTATGCCTGATATCCGCAAGTAAATTGTGAGCTTTCTGAAGTCAGGGAGACTTGCTGATCATATTTTTCTAATTCCTATTAGTGTCTCATATAACATTTTGTACCTAGTAGGTGCCCAACAAACAACTGTTGGTAATTGTTGATCTATTGATTCTGCACATCAGTGGCAAAAAAATCTTTGTGTTTAGAATCATTTTAAAGCATTAATGATAAATCCCTTCATACACATTTCCTTTTGGGAGTTTCCTGCTTTTTCAGAAGATGCCAGAGTGAATGACATGAGAGAACACTGTCCCCTTCAGGACAAGTAGTACTAGTGGCTTTTGACTCTATGTTTACTTATACTGCCAACTACACTGTAACTCACGATTACCTACTCAATCAACCACAAATGTTTGATTAGCATTTTGTTATAATTTTGTTGTTGTTTAAGCATCAACTAAGAATATGAAATAACTCTGAGCTAGTTTGTCTGATGATAGATGGGAAAATTCAACCCCAGTAAGCCTGAGTTTAATCAAGGCAGGCCAATGCCAGAGACAGTCTTCCACCACAAGAGGATGAGATAGTAGAATGAAAGAGCCAAAGAACTCTGTTCCTTACTAGTTAGTGAGTATTGTTTCTGGCATGAATAGATGTTGCATGAAATTGTGGAAAGAGCAGGGGCACACTGGAGTTTGCTACTTACTGACTGCATGATGCTGGATATTGTACCAATCATGATTTTTGATTTCAGGTAATCTCTGAGAAATAACCTCTGGTTCACTCTTGCAAAAAGAAGTTTATGAGCAGGCTATTGGATAGCCACAGAGCTAATGTGAAGTTTTTGAGAAGCAGTCAGGAAGCTAGATGTCCTAGCTGAAATTTCCCACAGGAAGGTTCTGAACAGGATACTACCATTGCCACCACTGGCCACAGACACTGGAGCCACTGAAACTATTGGTGGCATGATTCTAAATTATTAATTTCTTAGTGCCACCCCTTTGACTCAGATCCTGTGGAAGCACCTGATTAGCTTGGGTCCTGTGTCTTCTCTACCTACTGGTGGCTCAGGAGAGCTAGGGGCAGCCACTTGGGTTTTCTAGTGGAGGCTGGTCTCTCACTATAACGGATCTCTTAAACACATAAAGGAGGTTCTAATGGATAACAACCACCAGAGTAACAAACATCCATTGCAAATAGCTACTATAACAATTATGTGGTTCTCTGAAAGCCAACTAGTACAAATTTCCTCTTAGGTCACCATAGCACTATCATAATTATACTTTTTTCTACCTCATGGAAGTATTTGGTTGATGTAAGTCCCCATTTAAGGACCCCTTAAATGACACTGTGTGGATACCATCCTTGTCTGAGGCAGTCTGAGTGGCAGTATATGGGGATTCTACTTGTACAACAGCCTCCTCTAAAGGGCCACATAGCTTAATTAAAAGTAAATTAGCAAACAGTAATTGAGACTGGCTCCATGCCAGAGACTGTGTTAAGTGTACGGTCTCTCTGATAGCTCCTTCTCACTCTTCCTCATAAGCTCCTTCCAAGGTGTTATTCTTAGTGAATTCATCTATTCCTAAAATGTCAACCACTATCCATATGCCAACAAAGTTTCAAGTCCATGTCTAGAGTTTCTAAGCTCTAAAATTGTGTTTCCAGTAACTATTGAAGATTTCAACTGGGCTATCCAGATGGCATAAAAAATTCAAAGAACTTAACTCATCTTCTCCCCAAAGTGGTTCTTCCCCTATGTTGCCTATTTCTATATTGGTTTTACTATCTGCCCAGCAATCTAAACTAGAAGATTTGGCACCATCTTCAATGTTTCCTTCTCTCTCATTTTCACACAGAATTGATAGAACCTGGTAGCAGACCTTATGGTGTCTTTCCTGTGTCATTTTAGCACTCACGTTTCCTGCATGCTCACCCAGAGTCTTTTTACTGTAAGCACCAGGGACTCTGAGAGATTTCTCTGGTTGTTGGTGCTCACTCAGCCCACTTATTGGGCAGGCTAGAAGTGCCAGAAAGTTAAAATCTCTGGGAACAGTCCTTAACCAATGACTGGTGGAAGCTGATGGATAAATTTTTTGGGGAAAAACTCTGAAGCATTCTCTATGTTGCCTCCCAGAGGCCTCCAGTGAGTGAATCCTGATTTCCCACAGTGGTAATCTACTCATTTGTGCATTTGAAATAATTTCCATGCCCTTTCCATCCCCAGCTGGTGCTTCTTTGGATTATCTCTCAAAAAAACTCATTGTACTCAAATGCTATTTGTGCCTCTGCTTCTGGGAATAGTCAACTAAAACAGTGACCAATTAAATATTGGCATAAAGGGAGGCATTGAGAATGGTTATAATTTTTTACTATGTATGATTGATTTTTGGATTTATCATTTAGGTTTTAGATATTAGATAACTGAAACTGAGGTGCTGGCAGGACCACCCAGTTTGATGTGTTCAGCAGACAGTTGAAAATGTGGAATTATAGATCAGCACAGAAGTAGAGACTGGAGATAAGGAACTAGGAGTTATCAGTATATATAAGCAGGTGCTAAAGCCATGAAAATGGTTGCTATGGCAAAATGTTATGTACACAGGAAAGAACAGGGAGAATGGATTTTAGATATCATTCACATTTTCTTTCCTAAAGCTGAGCATAGTTAGGTAAGGAGTTATTTTGAACTAGTGTTTAAGTCCATAGAGCTCAGCACAGTGCCTGGGCAATAACCTTCCCAGAAATGTAGAATTAACTTTTATCCCAACTATATACTTAATGCAAAGCAAGAATCAGAACTTAGATCTCTTTGCTCCATCTTGAATACAATGTTTTTCTCTCTTATGAAAACCTGAAATCTCATCTGCTACCCCACCCATTCTTATTTACTCTACAGAGAGGTGTGTTTCCCAACTGAGGAGGTAGAAGACACTGTTTTCTATGTATTGCCAGTTAGCTTACTTAGAGCAAAGTGCTGGTGATGCCAGTGTGTGGCCCCATCCCTTCAATGGCATTATATTTGAAGGGGTTATAAAGCAGTAGTTAAGACCAAAGGCTTTGACCTCAAAGCTACAGTCATCTTACCCTTGTGAGAACTCAGGGGTATTGTTTAAACTCTCAGGGCCTCATCCAAGAAATTGAAATACTCGTAGTGAGTTATATTAGCAATTTTCAACCAATGTGCTTCAATTTTTAAAACATGCACTATCTGACTATTTAGTCAGGGGCACTGCCCTCTTTTCCCACAAACAAAACAAAACAAAACAGCAAACACAATAGTGGTCTAGTACGAATGAATCAAAATAATACCTTTTTGTTTTTGTCAGATTGGCAAAAATATTTTTTTTTTGGCGTGCCGCAGATTTTTAGTAACTAGTTTATGTGTGCCATGAGATGAAAAAAGTTGAAAACTGATGCACTATAATGTTGTAAAGTTGGAGAGATAATGCCTAGAAAGAGCTTAGATTCCTCAACCTAACACAATTAAGAACTTGTCAAGCTTTACTTCCTGTAGCGTGCATTAAACAAAGGAAGAGTCTCTTTTATTTATTTCGCCTTCTAAGTAGTAGATCACCTTGCAATTTCGGACACTTTTTCACCACCTCCCCCAAATCGGCTCTCAATCCCCTGCTGCCACAAAGCACTAAGCTCCGCACGACAGCGTTACCGCGCGGAGCCTGGCAGGAACGCCTCATCCCGGCGCCGGACTGCGCAGGCCAATCGCGCTGCTTCCGACTAGTGACGCAACTGCGCTTGTGCATGCGCAGGGCCCGAGACCTTGGCGAGGCGGTGGAAGCGCTGTGCGGAGGTGAAAGCTTTGGGGGAAAGGCAAGTGCAGCGGAAAAATGCAGAGCTGGAGTCGTGTCTACTGTTCCTTGGCCAAGGTGAGGGCCCACTGGGGTCGTGCTGAGCCAGAGGCAGACAGAGGCCCGCAGTCGGGGTCCGAGACGCAGCCTAACTGGTGGGAGTGGGCGAGGGGGATGGCCTGAGTGACCACCCGCGGCTCCGCCCTGAACCGAATCAGAACTGGCTGCAGCCCGGGGCAAAGGCCCGCCGTGGAGAGGCCCCGCCGGTTGTGTGACAGCCAGCAGTCACACACACTCTACTTCTAGGCCAGGGCCATGGGGTATGCGGTCACACAAAGGCCTCTCCACCTTGGAGGAGGAAGTAGAAATTGCTCATGTCCCTGATGGTCGGCCGGGCTCGCCCTCCTTTCTACCCTTTCCTGATCTCGGTCCCTGATGGCCTAACTTTCTGCAGTGGTCAGGTTACCTTAGGGCCACTGCTTGAAAGACCCAGACCCCGTCACTCCCATCGGGTAGCCCCAGGAATTCCTCAGAGGTCCCTTCCGTGTTTGCAGCTTGAAGCTAATGTCCATTGCCTTCTCTCCTAGGGGCTTATATTGAATTGTAGCAGTTATCTTCAAGACAGCTTTCCCTTTTCATCCGCGTACCAAATACAGCCAGTGGGATCTTGGCTGAGTACTATATTGATGGAGCCCCCAAAGATAATAAAGCGATCAAACTCCTTTGTTTCGAGCATGGGTAGCCCGTGTTCCCGAAAGTTAATGTAGCATGCTGGACGTCATACATTTAGTGAGGGCCAGAGCTCGGACTAAAATTTAAGACTGGCATTTGGCCCGGCCTTCTTTGGTTTACCTTCCTGTCACAGATGCAAGAATTGCCTTGGAATAGAGAACATTACTAGATCAGTGTAGGTTTTGTCCCTGCCTCTGTTTGCCTGCTGTGATAGGAAGTATTTGCTTTGTTCCTTTGTGCTTCACTATTTTAGTAATAATAGCCATTCGTATTTAGAGATTGTTGTGGAGATTATGATGCAGTTTGTAAAAGTGCAGTAGCCCTTGAATACGAATACATTACTTAGTGTGTTTTCCTAAATTACTGCATCTAATTTTCTGTTCCTAGTTGACGATTTAGGAACATCTTCATAGATGGAACATGGGATTTGAGTTGGGAAACAATAATTACAGGTAAAAGGACTGTCATGATGTAGATTTTTCAGGTACTTGGGTTAGAACTTTAAGAACTTTAATTTTGGCATTAAATTGATTCCTGGTACTTATAAATAAGCAATGCTTTCTGAAAATTTAATAAAAACATTATTGAATAGCATTTTTTATTAGGTTAGACATGAGGTGTTTGAATATTTATTATAGAAAGATAATGTAACCTGAGGTTGAAAACTTTAATCGCTATTATCAAAGAGGAGAAATTGATATGTAACCTCTGGGTATCAATGGAAGATACATTAATAATTATTGCTTAATACATTTACTCAAAGTCATTGGTTTTCATGACCTTTAGTAGTTTTTTGTTTACATAATAAGAACATTATCTTTTTTCCTTCCAGCGAGGGCATTTCAGTAGGATATCTCATGGCCTACAGGGAGTTTCTGCAGTGCCTCTGAGAACTTATGCAGATCAGCCAAGTAAGTATTTAGTCAGTTTCCCCTCAAAATTGTTCATATGTGCATTCACTTAAATGTTTATTGAGCACCTAGTGTGTTCTAGGTGGCAAACAAGGCAAAGCCCTGTTATTGTGGAACTTAGAGTCTGTTTCTATAAAAGACAGATAATACACAAGTAACATAAATATTTTGGGAAGTGATGAAAAATTAAAGCAGGTAATTGGGAGGAAAAGACACTATTTTAGATAAGGTGTAAGGGGCTTTTTCTGAGGAGATATGTCTGAGCAAGTGCTTGAATGAAGTGAGGGAGTGAGAACATTATTTCAGGCAAAGGGAAATATTAGTGAGAAGGGTCTGAGGTGAGAATTTGATTGTAAGGTTTAAGGGATTGCAGGACGGCTGGTGTGCCTGGAGCAGAGACTCATAGAATGTAAAATCAGAGAGCTAGGCAGAGATCAGATCCTGGAGGGTTTTGTAAGCCAGGCCAAGGAGTTTGGATTTTACTCTAAGTGTGATGGGAAACCACTGAAGGATTTTGAACCATGTGTGTGTGATTTTCAATATTTACATTTAAAAGTTCATTCTGGCTCAGTGGTTGAGCATGGACCCATGCACCGGGAGGTCACCGCTTTGATTCCTAGTCAGGGCATACGCTCAGGTTGTGGGCCAAATCCTCAGTGTGGGGCATGCAGGAGGCGGCCAATTGATGTTCTCTCTCATTGGTGTTTCTCTCTCTCTCTCCCTCTCTAAAAATCAATGAAATGCCTTCTGAAAAAAATAAATAAAAGTTTATTCTGTCCACTGGTTAGATTGTGTTGATTGTTTAACAGTGTTTAGAATGGTAAGATGACTTTTTTCAAATCCTGAATGAAAATCTTGCTGGACTTATCAAAAGCACATATTAAAACTAGAAAGATATACCTGAAAGGAAGCTGTATTTTATGGGTATTTTCTTTATTTTATATTTTTGTAGTTTCTATAAAGGATTTGTATTTTATTTTTTAAAGTATTTAAAAAGGAAGTTCCTGGGCTTGTAGTAAGGTATGTTGGCCTCCACATACCAACAATATTGATTATTTGAAATTATCTGTTTTGACATTTACTGTAGTCACCCATATGATTATAACTGAAGGTGCACATCATGTCTTAAAGTTTCATTGTACCAACCACTAGCTAGGAGAAACTGTGACCATTAGTCTCCCTGTATTCTGTAAAATAATTTGATGCTATATCCTTAACTGTTGTCAAACTATTATCATTTTGGAGATTTTATTCCTAGAAGAAAGAGTAGGGGGAGGATTCTGTCACCAATAATCGACAGTAATTTATCCTAGCTTTGAACAGGTCAAAAAATCCTTTAAAAAAAATACTAATTTGATGGTGGGAAAACAGGTTGAATCGTTATTCCCTTTTTGTTCTTTTAGTTTTATTATGATATAATTGGCATACACCCTTTGTCTCTTTTGTTAAGTGGGAATATTACTTATTCTATGCTCACACGACAGTAGAAATGTTAGATTTTTATTTCCAAAGCATGCAGTTAAAGACTACATGGCTAAGTCTGCACTCTTGGAGTCATTCAACAAAGATTATTTAGTGCCTTCTATTTACTGGGCAGTTTGGAGCAGGAACTTAGATTTTAACGGAATGAAGGTAACTAAGCTCTCATGAGTCAATTTACTGATCCTTTGACTTTGAATAAATGATAAATCCCTTAATACTTACATAGATACAATGTATGAAGTCTTTGGATGAAGTAACAAGCATTTTTACTTATATGTTTATATTCATCTGAGGTATTTAATGGCAAGGACTGTGACCCTTGTTTAGTACTTAAAATGGCACAGTAGGTAAATCAGTACATATTTATTCATTATTTCAACAAATCGGAATATCTACTCTGTGCTAGTTGTTGGGGCCAGTTGCTGGGATATAACATTGAACAAGGCAGACAAGATGCAGCTTTTATAGAGTTTACAATCTATTTGAGGAAGACTAACATCCAATAAATAATTAATTATAACTCTGATAAGGACTCCACAGGCTAAGCATAGGGAGCTATGAAATCTACATATGGGCTGAGAGTGTTCACAGAATTCTTTCCTAAGGAATGATTTTGGTATCTGAAAAGGGAGTGGTACTAGGTGTGAGAGGAGGTGTTCCAGGAAGAAGGAATAGCACATTGGAATATTTTGATATGAGAAGGAGCATAGTGCATTTGAGGAACTTGAAAAGGGCTGGTGTGGCTGAAATCTGATGAAGACTGAGTTGACTTCTCCAGATTATGAAAGAACCTAACTCTTTATTTTAAGGGTAGTTGGAAATCACTGAAGTGTTTTAAACAGGGGAGTAATATGATTAGATTTATTTTTAATTTAATTTTTTATTGATATTAGAGAGGAAGAGAGAGATGGAAACATCGATGAGAGAGAGAGCATTGATTAGCCTCTTCCTGCATGCTCTACACTGGGGATTTGGCCCAAAAACCTGGGCATGTGCCCGACTGGGAATTGAATTGGCGAGCTCTTGGTGCATGGGTCAACGCTTAACCACTGAACCACACCAGCTGGGCTGTTTTTAAAGATCATTCTGGTTGCAGATTGGAGTGCTTATTATAATTCTTTTTCTGTCTCTCATTAGACTGTAAGAACCATGGCATGTCATTTATAGGTAGCCCAAGAGCTTAGAGTCATGTTTATAATGCAAAATGCATGGTTATAAATGCAGGATTTACTTCTAGGTAGATGGAACAGAATGTACATAGGTAGACCAGTTAATTCTGTGGGTGTACGTTAACAGTAATTCACTATTGCTGGAGCTTGCAAACTGCATGATTTTAGTGGATAAGCAGAATGTGGTGGGAGATAGGGCTGGAGAAATAGTTCCTGAAGTGATTTAGCTGCTGTATTTAGGAACTTGGACTTATTCCAACAAGAGACAGGGAAACCAATGAAAAATAGGAGAATAAGGTCCAAATTGGGTTTTAGCAGGTAGTAACACTGGAATAGCAGTGTGTGACGTGTTATGGATGGTAGGAATGATACTGGAGGCTCCAAGACTGAAGAAGTTGGGAGGTAGATCTGCGAAGGAAAGAAACATTTATTAAGTGCCTGATAAGCACTTGACATCCTCCTAGGTCTTAACATGCATTATCTCTGACCTCACAAACCTGAGATGTGGGTATTAACTATCACTATTATTCCTATTACACCAGAGCCCAGAGAGTAAAATAATTTGCCCAAGAATTAAGAGGTGGTAGAGCTTATATTTGAACTGAGGTTTGTTTTACTTCAAAACTTTTTTCTTTTACTGTATTTCTCCTTTCTTATAAATGAGGGGGTTATAGGGTTATGATCAGAAAATGAAGTATTAGAATTAAAGATTTTAGAGGCAGAGCAGTTTGGGGTAGTGACAAGTATATGGAATAAGGTCACTGAAATAGACTGAAGAGTAAGGGCATTGATAATTTAAAAACAACAACCCTCCCTCTGCAATAAAACAACAACAAAGAAACCTTGCCAAGTAGCTTTATATCGTTTAATGAATTCGGTAATTAATGATTACTGCTTTATGATATGTCTTCCTATTCCTGTTTTCTTTTTAAAAATAATCTTGATTTATCTACATTTTGATATGTGCCTATTTTCTCTAACTATAATATAAGGCTATTTAAGGTAGTGATAGACATTTATAAATATTTAATTATTTAATTCTGAAAATGAAGAAGCTTCTTGTGATTTTTGAGTTTCTGATTGCCCAGGAAATTATGGGATTATCTGAGTGTTTTAGAAGGCATGAGAACATATGCTATAGGTTTCAGAATCTAAAGAACCTAGTTTGAATCCTGACTAGATCATGTTCTAGTTGTGCAACCTTATGCAAGTTATTTAGTTACTCTTCACCTTATTTTCTCCCTGTTAAATGGAGCTAATAACTATGTAATAGAGATGTAATGAGGCTTAAATAGGCAACATGAAGCATTTAGCTCACTGCCTGGCACATAGTAAGTTACCCAAAATGGTAGATATTATTGCAGCCTGACTTCTTAATATAACTTGTAATTTGTTGATGATTACAACCTATTTGTAACCTGACACTGTTTATTTTCCTCATAATGATATAAATAGCATTTGCACGTTATTATGGAGAGCACTTTTTCTTTCAGTTCATATCATGGCATTAACTGCCATGTTTTTAAATCCAGTCACCTCTCATTATACCATTTTATGTTATTTATTTTATTTTTTAAAATTTATCTTTATTGTTGGAAGTATTATAGATGTCCTCTGTTTTTTTCTCAATTGACACCCTCCTCCCCGCTTCCCTCACCTCCTTCCTTCCCCACACTATAGTCTGTGTCTATTGGTTATGCATATATGCATATAAATTCTTTGGTTTATCTCTCCCCGTCCCTCTGAGATTCCTCAGTCTAACAACTAATTTGTACTTATTTTAAAAATTTTTTTTCTTTTTGATTAGATTTTAGACAGGAAGGAAGGGAGAGGGAGAGAAAAATGGAAACATTAATGAGATAGAACATTAATTGGCTGCCTCCTGCATGCCCTCCACTGGGAATTTGGCCCACAATCTGGGCATGTGCCCTGACCAGGAATTGAACCAGGAACTTCTTGGTGCATGGATCTACGCTCAACCATTGAACCACACTGGCCAGGCCCAATTTGTACTTCTTAATCCCTTTACGTGTTTCCCCCATTTCCACAATTCCTCTCCCATCTGGCAACCAACAAAAAGTTCTCCATACCCATGAGTCTGTTTCTGTTCTCTTGTTTGTCAATTCAGTTGTTGACAGGTATGTATTTATTGCCATTTTATTGTTCATATTTTTTATCTTCTTGTTCTTCAAGAAGACCCTTCAACCATTTCATATAACACTGGTTTGGTGGTGATGAACTCCTTTAGCTTTTTCTGGTCTGGGAAACTCTTTATATGTCCATCGATTCTTAGTGATAGCTTTGCAGGATAGAGTAATCTTGGTTGTAGGTCCTTAGTTTTCACCACTT